TGGGAAGCATGCTATTTCAATGTGCTGTTAAAGGATGCACTTAAATCCTCTCATTCTTTCCCAGAGAAGAATGCCAGCTTGTCTTGTTTATGTGAAAGCCACATATACTTGTCTTAGCATGCAGCCCTATAATAGCAGGAAATTTTTCTCCATAGTTAGCTTGGCAGACGTAATTGCCAATCTGACTCTGTAGATGAGCACACCATACGTATGCATGTACATATATGGTGCGCTGGATCTGTTCAGGAGTGGTGACTGAACACTTAGGTATGTGTCTAAGGAATTAATTTTTTCTGGGTGAGGCTTTCACTCTTCTCTTGAGTGAGTAATGTCTCAGCCCAAATTTTTAACAGTCCTTAAAAGCAAAGACCTTAGCCTGCCCATACCTGTTTCAAGAATCTTCTGTTGAAAAGAAAATATGGCATATGCCTAAAGCTATGTGATCACTGTGGGTAGAAATTTCAATTTGATGTACACCTGCCTGATGCTCTGAAGTTGGCACAGTCTTTTATGGAACTGAGGAATGATGCTGCGCTGTGGCCAAGGTGCTCCTGGGAATCAAATACTGTTCCGTAAATACTGGGAAGGGAGATCAGGCTTAAAATGCCTGTGCACCATGAAGATCTTTGATTAAGTTTAGGCAAGCCATTATAACTTAGCCTGTATCAGACCAAACAGGCTGAGCTCCTGAGAGCTGCTGTCAGAGCAGAAAGTATGGGGCTAGGAGGGATGGGCAGACTTTTTTCAGCCTGGGGGTCAAATTTCACCTTTTGAGAAGCTCTCGGGAGGCAAAAGGGAAAGGACCTCCAATGCTAATAGACTCTTGCTTACGCTTCTTACTGTAAGTCTTCATACCAGCCTTTTAGAAAGGAGTTGGGAACAACACCAAAGCAAGGAAGCCATCAAAAGATTGGTGATGGAGAAAAAGAGGGTAGGGCCAGAGGAAGGAGGCCTGGCTGTCTAGAAGGGGGTTATCAGATGGGAAACCCCAGAGAGATTGGAATCCTGGCAGGGCTGGATTTGGCCTCCAGGGTGGAGGAAGGGGCTTTCCTGCATCTTTGTACTAGATAGACAAGTGATTTTACATGTTATATTCTCTCCTGCCCTCATCAGCAGCTACAGCAGCAATGGCTAACACATGCAATGATAGCCACTTTGGCTTCTGCACTTGTTTTGCAAGGCTCTGCTAGAGCAATACACTTAGCATGACTGCCACTTCCCAGCAGAGACCAATGAAACTGCCATTGAACGCAACTCTGGAATTGTGGAATGGTGATTCCCTTGGAAAGATAAAGTCAGACATTGTCCTGCATTTTGTGCAGGAGATGCCCTCCTCTCTAGGAGGTAGAAATCCTAGATTTCTCCACCCAAGCACACACTCTCAGTCCCAGCTCAAAGGCTCGTGAGTGGCAACTTGAACAGCTCATAAGGGTGCAGTCCTTTCAGTTATACACTTGGTGATCAGAAGCCCCTGAACTCCAGGGCATCTGATGATCTAGTGCAGGGTGGGTGAAGTGTCCGAGATGATCTTCGCCTCCAAGTCCTACAGATTTTGCTAGATGGGTCCATCTAGCAAGGACACTTTGGAGAGAAAGGGGAGGAGGCTGGAGGAGGCTCACACTAAGAGATACCTGGGCTTCTTCAGATGCTTCTTCCCCACACCCCAGTAAACCCCTTTCCTCTCCTACAAGGTCAGTGTTCTGACCTGGGAGGGCAACTGCACAGTTCTTTCTGGATTGGCTGCAAGGAGGCTGAGGAGAGTCTAATCTCCAACTCACCCTTCCAAGCCCAGCGCTGTCTCTGACCCTGGACGAGGGAATACGAGCAACCTGTCCTAGGATGCGTGCTCGGGGATCATAGAATTGCTTTTGAAGAAAGCCTCAGGCCCCTTTCAACCATTACACACACTTGCTTGAAGCTGGACTGGTGAAGATGTATGTTGCCATAGGAGAAAAGAAACTCCACCTTCCTGCACAGGTTTAAATAGGCTGCTGTGCATTTCTCATATGCTGAGAGATGAGCATTATGCTAGCTTATGTTCAGTAGCACTCTTTCCAAAGCAATACATAGGTGAGCCGTTAGAGGTTGTGGAGAACTTGGCGGAAAATCTCAGGCGGAGCAGAGTCCTTATGTTGCTGTCCTTATGTTCCTGTTTCCTTCAAAGGCAGCATTCCTCAAATTCTTTCCATGTGGTCTTTAGCTGTCCAGCCGAACCGTCTTTCAGATGCATTCCTTTTGCTGTTTACCTTACTACATGCTGAAACAGCAGGAGCTGTTTTGCATGGGGGGTATTCCTCACAGAGGGTCTTCTAATCCAATTACACTGTAATTTCTGTACAGCCTTAGATACACAGTCTTCATTTCATCCATTTAAGTCTGGATATTTTGACTGCAACCAGATCCTTAAGTTTTGATTTGCCAGCATGTTTTCCTAGTGCATCTTCTAGGATGTGGTGCATAGCCAATCTTCCTAATAGTGAACTCACACCAGTAGTCCTCTTTCTCAGTTAACCCTTTTGTAGCCAAAACCTCAGCTTCTGTGTGCAACGTACTGGGCATAAGGGAACCCTGTCATTTGGAAAACTACAGAACAATTTTAGGGGAAAAACACTTAAGGAGGCCCTTCTTCAGAAGAGCCAAATAAGGGTGGAGTGTACGCAGTGATTGCTTTCCTAGAGAGCATTATGGAAAACCAGGGGTGAGGGAAGAAATGGAGTCCTGAAAGTGGACATAGCTGGCTGGAACACCGAATGAGAGCATTCAACAAAGCTGACATATTACTGTGGCCCCACGCCCAGTGTGTCTTTGTGGTTTCACCAGATTCTTCAGGGAGAGCACTCAACCATCTAAAAATACTTTAGTCACTGGGTTCCTTAAGAGATGGTTCGCTTCAGCAAGCATTTTGGTCAAAGAGACAGTGAGATGAGAGGCGATGCTGAACCTTTGTATCAGAAAGAGAACTTCCCTCTAATAAACTAGCAGCTGATTTAAACTGGGTGCTGCAACTGTGTTTTATTGAAGTCTGATGTTAATGATGGTGCTGACATAATATATCCATCATCGTGCATACATATATTCAGGGTCAGGCCCTACAATTGTGCCAGACTTCATGGGAATTATGAGGGTTGTAGCAGGCCTGCTGACTTGCTTGTACTAGGGGTGGGCAAAAGGTCGCTCTAAAGAGGGGCTGTAGGTGGAGCATCAGTGTTGTATACAGAAGTTTCTGGGTTCAATCCCTGACTTCTCCAGGTAGGGCCAGGAAAGAATCCATTCTTGGAGAGAGACTCTTGATCCTTGTTGGCAAGCCTAGTTGGACCAATGGTGTGATCAAAATAGAGCAGCTTCCTAGCTCCTAGATGTTCGGACTTCCACTCCCAGAATTCATGATCATTGGCCATGCCAGCAGGAGCTTATGGGAGTGAAAGTCCAAACGTCAGTCCACTTCTGAGTTGCATCATGCCTGCACAACATGTTACCAAGCTGAATAATCCTGATCAGTCTATCAGTGGGTACTAATCAAGATGGCTGTATGCTGCTTCCAGACTCAGATGCTCTGTGCTACTGCATCTCAGTTGCTGGGAAACAACAGTGGAGATTGCAGCCTCATGTTCTGCTTGTGAGTTTCCCATGGACTTCTAGTTCCTAAACTAAGTGTCTGATCTTGTCTCCTTCCAGATGTCACTGTGACCTGCCCAGTGGTTCCCGTTCTAGGCAGGTAGCACAGATAGGAATTCTACTGAGCCTCCAAGAGGCTGCCATACACATTTGGCTTGTTGTGGCACAATCTGATTTATACACTCATGGAACTTTGCAGAGCTTCCAAAACCGGGATAGGCCTGTGTGTCCTTTGGAAGGATCCATCTCCAGGCATGTTGCCTTGCAGTGGCAGCTAGGATCTTCATGGGGGTGGGTGGGAGGGAGCTTGATGGTCTAGATGTTCAGATAAAGAATCTTAGGTTAGCCAAGTGTATGGGTACAGGCTGGGCTCTTTAAGAGCACCAACCATGTAGTCTGTTCTCTTTGTATTGCTAAAGGTCAGATGGGAGGCCTTGGTTACTGTTAAAAGGCATTGTGTGCATAGTAACATGATGTCCTGACTTGGAATGGGACTAATGAAACATGCAGCTCCAAAGATCAAACAGATCCTGGAAGAGGAAGAAATAACTGAGTGAACCTAACTAAACTTTATAGTTACTAAATTAAAAATAGAGGTAACAGCCCTGTGCACTCTTGCAGGAATCAGACATGATAGCAGAGAGGTCTGTTTTCAAAAGAGGTGTATTAGTCTCCTGCCATTAAGCCAGGAGTGGGTCACCTTTTTCTGTTGAGTGCTGTATTCCCGTGTGGTTCTGTCAGGCACCAAAAGTTTGTACTAGGTGGCCAGGCTTTCTGTTTCTCTCTTTCTGCCACTCCCTTTTCTCTGCCTCCCTCTTGCTTCCCATCCAGGGAAGGGATGGATGATTCTTAATGCCAAGCACTTCCAAAGTAGGCCAAAGAGCACGTGTGGTTCTAGGCCCACAGTCTGCCCACCCCTGCTTTAAACCAAAATAGTCTTCCGAAGTAGTGAAGCTTAGTCATCTGGACTGCATCTGGACAGGAGTCACATTCTTTGGTCCTTGTGATGGCACTGCCTGTTGCTGAGCACCAGCTCCCCACATGTATCAACCGCTGCTCTGTGGCTTGCTCACAAAAAAGCAATGTGGGGAGGCCAAGGTTTGACTTGCGTAGTGATCTACTATACGGGAAAATTGTTCACCATGTGCATTAACCACTACAGAGATCATGCTGGCGTCATCTGAAGCGGGAACTTAATGCACTGCAGATAGGGAGGTTTCCTGTTTCTGTAGGGCAGTGGGACCTAGAAAGTTTGTGGAGGGGGAAGTAGAAAGAAGAACCGAAAGAGGACATGAAAGTGACACTCTTGTGGCAAACCATTTGACTACATAGCCATTGTGTTCCTTCTCCTGACCATTTTTGTTGTCTTCTGTCTATTTTAACAGGGTCTCCTTACTATGATAATGTCCGCCCACTTTCCTACCCAGATTCCGATGCAGTCTTAATTTGTTTTGACATTAGCCGTCCAGAAACCCTTGACAGTGTCTTGAAAAAGGTAAGCATTTAAGAATTACTACAGATGTATAGGTGAAGCTATTATAAGGTCAGTGCTTTCATCTGTGTATGGGAAAGTAAGATCCAGACTGACTGATTATTGAATGACTCTGCATATAACGTAGACCAGGTGAAAGTTTAAGAATATTAGTCTTGCGACTTCTCCAGTTAAGTCTGCCTCAGGACATTTGAAGTTGTGATTTCTCTTTGAATTCTTTGCTGGGGTTCTCAGTTCAAATCTTAAAGCCTTCTGTGAACTTATACTTTGGGGGATGCCCTTGGGATACATGGGAGTCCTTCTTATTGCTCTTTTGCCTTGGAAACTTCTTGCAAAGTGGGGGAAGCAGATCAAAATTCCCATTTTCCAAGTGAGTTGATTAAATAGGCCGTCTACTAATTCCATTTCTACCTTAACTTCCTGCCATCCAATTCAGTTATGGTAAAACAAGCATCATTAATGTCCCAGGAACAGCTGTTACTGCCAGTGTCAACAGAACTTTGGAATCAGGGTTTCCTGTGTATTCAGTGACCTCTGTATATATGACCTACAGAGTCATACTGACCCAGTGGAATAGGGAACCAAACTGACTTGCAGTTCTGTGAAAATCGACTTTCAGAGAAGCATGGGCAAATCTTTCTTCCTATTTCAGTTTCCACCTACCTCACAGGCATATTGTACTGATTAATTGTTGTAGAACACAAGCAGCAGGAGTGCTGTTATTAAGTTCAGGCATATCAATGGCCTTTCGCATCTCTCATCTCCAAACTGACCTTTTCAGGGAAGAGTCCATACAGAACTGTAGACTGCTACCCAGCCCTGCCATTGCACTTGTATTTCATCTCTGTATCTCCCAGATCTTTCCCAGAGGTGCTTGTGGCAGCACTGGGGCTAATCATGACTCTGATTGTGTGAGTTGCAGCCTGTGGGTTTAAGGCTGTGATGTATACAGGAGGTACAAGCAGGCCAAAGTGAATTCAAGTCAGTGGGACTTAAATATGAGTACCCCTTCAGATGGTACACCTTATGCAGTCAGAAAACAGTGCAAATGGATGGATTGCACCATGATGGGCTGCACTTGCTGGAGGACAGGAGTGGGGCTTGCATGCCTGCTTTTGTGCAGGCATTGAAGGAGCACCTGCATGGGGCAGGAATGGTCGCCTAATGGCTACCACTCCCACCAGCCCTGCCAAAGGTAAAGGAACACTTCCAAAAGATCTGGACGGGCACAGACTGCCCAGCCCTGGCATGGAGCCTGGGTGCACTTCAGCTCCACATTTTCCATGGTTGGCTGTGATGAAGAATGCTGGATTGCATTCCGTTCCTTTTTCAGGCCCCACTGTTACCACACACCCTGCAACGTACCCAGGGTTAGAAGCGTTACTGATGGGACACTCGGGCAGCCACTTGCCTTTGACTCCTCTGCGCCTGGAGGGAGTGAGCGGGTGGCAGTGCGGTGTGCAGCAGAGCTTCCATTCTGCATTGGAATGCAAGTTAAGTTTCTCACCATGCAGGCTAAACTGTGTGTGTGACATGGGCTATGGCCCTATTTGAATCTAATTACATACTTCTGCTAGTAATTTGGGAAGCTGTTTAAACTTGCTTTCAGAAACTTCCTTGATAGTATCTGTTCTGTCAGTTGAGCCAATGAGTCACCGGGAGCGAGAGGGTAACTTCTGCTGTGGCAGCTGGCCTATCTGTAGGGGATGCTGCGCTTCATGTCTTCACCCGCTTTTCCTCAGCCTTTTGGGGGTAGGAAAGGCTTAACGTTTCAGGGCTTTGATTCAAAATAGTGGCGGTATAGAAATTTGAGACAGGCTGGGACAGGTGAGCGATCCTCTTTCTCCTAAACTTTACGTTTGATCTTTTGAGAACAGCTTCAAGTGCCTTATTGAGGCAGAATTAAAGAACAAAAATAAAAGGAAAAGGAAAAGATACCGCAGGCCAATTCTTCTTCTCTTTTTCCTCTCTCACGCACTGTACACTTCTTAAATTTAAATACACAGCTAATGTTCATAGGGTTAGGAAATATTAAACATTTAACTCCAGTGCTTCGTTGCATTCTGTGTATCGGGAACATGGTGCCTGTGAACACCAGTGGCCCCCAGACTCTGCTTTTGGTGTCTGTCATGGCGATCCTCCCTCCCTTTATTTTAATAAAACCAACACTTTTTAAACTGGGATTGCTGTGACATAGGTTGCTGTTGGTGCTGAAAACCGAGTTCAGAGGAGCTGTTTGGTGTGCTGAGCTCAGAGCCCACCCTTCCCTTGGCTCTTCTGGGTGGCTTGCTTCTCCTTTGCTGTGCTTCTCAGGACAGCCATTCCTGGTGAGCTCCAGGGCAGTGTTTTATCTTGCCAGTTCTGCCCCCCAGCCCAAAAATGCTGCCCACTTTTGCAGTCTTTTGAACGAACTACAGCAAACAATGGTGATGCATGACCCTCCAAAATATTCTAAGGAATTGGAAAAGATTGAGAGGAGGAAAGGATGAATAAATAAATCTGGACATTTCTGGAGTACCAGCATGTTAACCATAGAATATTTTTTACAGTGGAAAGGTGAGATCCAAGAGTTCTGTCCCAACACCAAAATGCTTCTGGTTGGCTGCAAGTCTGACCTGCGTACAGATGTTAGTACTCTAGTAGAGCTGTCCAATCACAGGCAGACACCAGTATCATATGATCAGGTAAGTGCCATGACTTAGGCTCATTGCTAGTGAATCAGTGATGCACACTTCTGAATTGATTTGTTCCATTGCTCCTTGGATAGAGTGTATCAGTAAGTGTCAGGTCTGTGGCACTACCAGTCACTACCAGTGTCTGTAGGCCACTGCTTTCCTGGGCCAGGATGTATGGTCTCCATGCTGAAGGTTCTAGGTTGAGTTTCTGGCATCTTCCAGCAGGGGTGAGAGAGCTTCCAGTCTCAGACCCTGGTAAGTCACAGCCAGTTGGAGTGAACGGCACAGAGCGAGAGGGACCAGTGGTATGACTTGGCTTAAAGCAGCTTCTCTGCTAATGGATCGAGCCATTTTACCAGGGCAGGGGAGTTGGGTGCTCTTCGGTGTCTAACAGTTGTTGCATAAACCAGTTCTTTACCCATGAGTCTCAAGGGCCAGGGGAGAGCAGAATGATGGGTTCAGGAGATCTGGGTCCTATTCCCTACTCAGCCATGAAGCTCACTGGGTGACTGTTGCCACTGTAGCCTACTTCATAGGGTCACTGTGAGTTAAAATGGAGAAAAGGAGGATCATGCAGGCATCCTTGGGTCCCTGGCAAGAGAAAAAAAAATACATAAATGGAATAATAAATATAATAAAATGTATGGTGGAAGGACTTCACATATAAGATATCTAATCAGACACAAATGACTCTTTCAAAGCATACCTGTAGTTACATCCCACCAGATCTGCAAATGTTTTGCTTTCCACACTCCTTTCTGCATTCAGACTGGATTACTAAATTGGACACGGATCTGACTTTAACATGGCCTCTTCTTTGTCTGTCTTTGGGTGGAAGAAGAGACCAAATTGTGCTTCTTCTGTGCCTCTAAGTAATACAATGGAGAACTGCTGGTTTCCTCTTTGAAAAAACAAACCAATCTCAGTGACTCAATAAAGTAATATCTCTTAAACTGGGAATTGGACATTTATGTGAAACTAATTGCAACTTTTCCTCTCCTCATGGAATTGTAACATGAGGACTGAATAGGATTTTTTGAAATCATGAGGCTGCATGAACATAAATCCCATGGAAAAGCAACCATCACATTACCCACTTCTGGGGAATTTCCATGCTAACTTGGAAGAAAATTGCACTGAAACAAGACTGACTCCCAAGTAAACTTGGCTACAATCGGGCTGCAAGATCAACAGTTTATTTGCAGCCTGAGTGCCCCATGTCTTCCGTACACAATCAGTTTTTAATAGAATTGCCAGTTTCCATAATGCTGAGGAGTTCTTCTTTTTGCATTTTACACGGATTAGACACTTAGTGTCGAACGCTTCTGTTTTCAGTATATTTTTGTCCATTGGAACTTGGCAAGTAATTTGATACAGACAGGGAACCGAACTGAGTTTATGCAGTCAGTGGTGCTCTCTTCTCCCCCTCTCATGTCTGAGCCAAGATAAAGCCTGGATGTTTTGTTGCTAATAATCAGCATCCACAGAACTTGTTCTGGTGGAATTGCACGCATGCAAATATTTTGAGCTCCAGAAGGACTTCAGAGGAGCATCTGCACAGCTCTGCTGCCAGCTGGGACATTGGTTTCTCCTCCCCCTCAAGTGGAAATGCTGACTCTACATCCTTAACATTTCCTGAGTCCTGTTTATCTCCTTAGCATCCCCTGTGTCTACTCAGAGATAAGTCCTGTCAAATGCAGTGGGACTTAGCTTCAAGTAGGACTCGTGCAATATAAGGCCGATCTCGGGGATGCTCATCATGTGGCCCATGGGCTACAAGCAGCCCCCATGGCCTGATTTGCAGCTCCCACTGCTGCTGAATTTCCTGCAGGGACAACAAAGGATACAGTAAACTTGCTTGAAGACCTCATTTGGAAGGAGAGCCTCTGTCTCATTTTTTTCTTGATGTATTTTGTAAAGGTACCTAGACAAATGATTCGTCAGGTGTCACAATACCTATAAGTAACAAGATAATGTCGATCCATTTTTTTCTCCCTAAGGTAGAAAATCTCAGTGCATGGGAGAGGAAGGAGAAAAGGAAAATAGTATTTCAAAGGCAGTTGTCAGCAATGCACAGTAGCAGCAGTCAGCCTAAGCAATACATGGTTTTTGCTCAGTGTCTCTCTCTCTCTCGCGCGCGCGCGCGCGCGCTCGCGCTCTCTCTCTCTCTCTCTCTCTCTCTCTCTCTCTCTCTCTCTCTCTCTACTTTGTGAATAAAATTCATTTATCCCCAAGCCACAGGAATATCTCACAAGACTCTGCAATACTGAATCTTCATTAGTTCAGATTTTTTTTAAGTAACTGAAATATTAAGCTTTCAGACTCCTAGTAAAAAAAACAAAAATAAAAAGTGAATATTGACATTTTCATGAATCCCAGTGTTTTAATTAATTTAATTAATTTAATTAATGTTTATATTTATTGTAATTTATTGTTGTAAGCCACCCCGAGGCTTCGGCGAATGGGGCGGCATAAAAATGTTTTAATAAATAAATAAATAAATAAGGAGCTGCTCTGGGAAGTTTCTCCCCACACCAAATCACAATTACACTTCTTGAGATAAGTGTCCTGGTAAAAAAAGATAATTCACTGCCCTTTGGGCCACAAACCACTGCATTTCCCCCAAGTGAGTAGTATCTGAGGTCTTATTGTCAGCCTTCACATAAAAACTCATCCCCCCCCCCCACAACTTCATACAGAAACATTAAAGGGAAAGTCCAGACTAGGAAGCCATAGTATGGTGCTGTTCATTGCAGTGGTTTCCAAGTACTTTGGTTTGGTCTCAAAGGTTTGAAGGTTATGTTGCAAGGTTTCAGCCATAGGCTTCTATCTGAAGAGTGTTGAGGATTCTGAATCGGAGCTTTCTATAATGACCTATGAAGTGGCTATGCACCACCATTACTCTTCTTGTGTAGTGATGTTTGTAAGGTTAACTTCCATCACTGGAGATCAGTGGGCTGGTACAATCCAAAAACCAGCTGTTTGCAACTTCAGTCATTGTTTGATAGGCTGTTTTTTTGTTGTTTTTGGCTGAGGGATTTTTTTTTTTATATTCCAAACCTACTCTCTCATCTCAGTAATGTTCCTGCTCAAGACTCCAACTCTTGCTTATCTGAACATCCTTTAACCTCTGGTTTCTGGATGCCTTCCAGATCATGCATATCATTTCAGTTAGGCTGGATGTTCTACACTGTAGAATCTACAGTGTTTAAGTACACGAAATGCTTCCTGGTGACATGGGTGAAATGTGTGTTTATACAGTCTGAATGGATAGACATTCCTTTGGGTTCTAATTGGGCAATATTTCCCTGTTAAATCTGAGCTAGTAAGTGTTGGTACTGCAACAGAAAAGCACAGTAACCATTTATTTTTACCCAGTCTAAAGTAACTGGTGTGTAGAACCACAACAGGCATTCAGTATCTCCACTTTGAAGCACATTTTATGCAGCAATGAATAGCTCAATGGGTGTAGAATTATGTGTTTGCTTGGCAAGCAGGTTTTTTCATAATTTATCCTGTTGAATTAGTGAAACAAGGGAATGTTTGAGAAATATTATTTTTGTCTTGATCTACCTATACCGCTACATACAATATGGCTTTAACCATGTTTACTGGGAAATAAATCCTACTGATTTGCCTCTAACTTTGCCTGAGTCTGTCTGTCTCTCTCTGTCTCTCTCTCTCTCTCTCTTTCTAGTTTTTCGATACCATGTTATATTTTAAAAATCTCAAGACAGTTACAAGAGATCGTTTAAGTTGTCCTGTTAGATGCTATGGCCTACAGATGCTGTGGCCCCTTGATCCCTCACCATTGGCCATACTGATTAGGTGTGTTGGAAGGTGTAGGTCAAAACACCTGGAGGACCACAAGTTGCCTTTCCCTGACTTAGAGATAGAACCACACTCAGCTGGATCTCTTCCTTCCTCTTTTTTAAGCTAGGGTTTTTCCTCCAAGCTTTCAAAATCTAAGCAGATTTACCTACTTAACCTGTAGTGAGAAAAAGATGGCTCAAGCCCCTGAGAACAGTGCTTCCCAAACAGTGGCCTGCACCACAGTAGTCAAGAGGAGCAGGTATGCTGCTGTGGTTTATCCTTGTAATATCCTTTGGCCTAGTCCGAGCTTAACAAAGAACCCAAGAAGTTGGCTGCAGGGCTGTATAAGAAACTATCCATGTTCTCCATTGCTGCCACTGCCAGGGTGTATTTAAACTCTTCCAAGAACTGGAAAGGGCTAGCAGGAACTCCATCGTAGGAGTGCTAATACCAGCATTTGGACAGACCATTACTCCTTACCCATGGCATTACTTTATCATAAGTGCTCTTGAACTTATTCCAAGTCAAAAAAAACTTGGCTTTTAAAATTTGCAACCATGCTGAGAGTCAGCTCTTTCCTAGTATGGCTACCTGTAGACAGATATGGGAGATACTCACCTTAAAGACCCATGTTTGCAACTACATGGAGACAGTAATGTAATAATCCTAGGTTCTAGACTGCAATTGTAGGAAAACCCATTCTCAGTTGTTACTTGTATTGCTTTTTTCAAAAGATTGGAAAGCAAAACCATGTCTAAAGGTAACTGTATGACTGGTGTGGGCTCTATGCATTTCCATTCATGACTGACTTGCGAATTTCCCTTTTCCTTTCCATAGGGTGCAAACATGGCCAAACAGATTGGAGCAGCCACTTACATTGAATGCTCAGCTTTGCAGTCGGAGAACAGCGTAAGAGACATTTTTCACGTTGCTACCCTGGCCTGTGTGAACAAAACAAATAAAAATGTTAAGCGGAACAAGTCGCAGAGAGCAACAAAACGAATTTCACACATGCCTGGCCGGCCGGAACTTTCAACAGTCACCACAGATCTGCGAAAGGACAAAGCTAAGAGTTGTACAGTGATGTGAAGGATTTGGTTTCCTCAGTGGCGATGACAAGGACAATGTGTTTGGGTGGGATAGGTGAAGACTCGACAAGAAGTGCCCAGTGAAAATGGCCTGTTGTTTGGCATGTCAATGCTTAAAGGCCATGATTCACCTTCAGTAGGCAAGAAACTGTACTTGGGGAGTCGGTATGTAGAGGAAGCAATGGGAAGAGATGGATTCTGAAGGGATATCAATATGACTTGGATGAAATACCAAATACAAAGGAAGCTCTTTGTGCTAAAGAAGTGAAAGGACTGGTAGCACTTGAAGAAATGATGTCCTGGAGAATGCTTATTCTTTAGATCTATTTTTGGAATACCGACTTTGATTTTGATTACATGCTGAAGTATTGCTTTAAGAAATAAATTCAAAATATTCCTGCTCTCTTTAATTGTGAAGCTTGCCCTACGGTTTGGTTTTTCCAAAGAATACGATGGTATTTTCTTCTAATTTGTCCTTAAAATAGGAAAGAGAGATCATCCAGAGGAAAATGCTGTGTGAAGAGTTTTTCAAAGGTAATATGGATGAGATGGCTAGAGAAGGAAGAAATTAAGCCACATGGTAATGGAAAGAGCCTCCAGAAGCTTCTAATTATGTAAATCCAGAAGAGAATGGGGAGGGGATGAAAATACCTGTTGATTAGGAGTACCTCTCAAACACAGAATCTTCATCTTCACCATTGTGAGTGTGATGAAAAAAATGATGAACGATCTGAAAGCTAAATTATTTTGACGGCTTCTTCATAGGGAAATTGTATACTATATGGATGTCCTAGGTCGAATTGCAAAGCCTAACAAATGGTGCTAAGATGTAGTTATAAAGGCCATTAATTAGGAAAGAACGTTAGTCTTGCTCCCCTCCTTAGCAGCTCCGTTGGTGTGAAGGAGGCTAGCCTAAGCACCGGGAAAGGGAATACGTGCTGCTCGGCTCTGTGACTTTTCTGCAATTCTATACTGGCCGTTTTTTTGTTTTGTGTTTTAAAGCTAGCACATGAGCCAGCATACTCAATTATCTCCATTATGATGCCTCTCTTGAATGGCTGCATATGGACGACCATCTCCTGTTACACATTTCTGTTTACTTGTAATGAGCACTCAGAGGAAATGGGGGAGGAGGAGCCTGAAGAACAGTGGAGCCTTTAAGGGGTCCCAAGTGGAAACCAGATACTGCATTAATCCTAAAGGTCTCATACAAGCATATCCAGACAGTGATCATTAAACATTACTTGTGTGACCCAGATTCTGTCAAATTCCTTTTCACTGACTGATGACTATTGTTACATCCACTAAGCCAATCTTGAAAATAGTTTGCAGATGTTGTTATGTGTTAGAGGACACAGCCGAACTCTGCCTTGAGAGTTTCTCTCTGGCTTGTTTGAATGCAAGCATTTTTGCAAATGCTTCATTTTTGAAGCATAATTTCCATAAAAATTCCAGATATATTGCCACCATAATATACTTTTTGATTGATGCAACGGTATGCTTAAGGCAGTATTAAGAAAAGAAAAAAAAGCCGGCAAGTGCTTTCTGTATTTAAGTATTGTACAAAGAAAAATAAGTTAACTGTTTCAGCAAAACATCCATCACTTTTTAACAAATGTCCGTCACTTTGTATGTTTGGTTATTGTTTCTGCAGTATTTATTTTTTCTTTTAAATAAAAAATGTTTAGTGGTTGATTAAATCTCTGCATGTGTGCCGTCCTGTGTTTCTTGGGCTGTGAGCCCCTCTGAGCACAGAGAAACTTACAGAAAATGTGCTTGTGGTATTTGATGGGTGTCCTGGGTTGGCCTGCATGGATTTGACTGAGATCCTCTCCCAAGCTTCAGGCAGTGATAGCTTCACACATCACTTTCTACAAGATTGCATTAATTTTCCACAGACAGGCAAATGAAAATTACCTCGGGTCTAAATCTAGGCATTTCCAGGGGAATAATACATTTAGCATCCTCTTCCTCCACCTTTAGAGGCCAAACGATGGATGAATCTATTGGCTGCTTGGAGATTTTCTTTATGGTTCTTCATAATAGCAAATTGTATTTAGAGAGCAATTCTATGGTCCCTAGATAGAAGTCTCCTAAATAAATAAATAAATAAATAAATAGGTAGCTGCAGATCACCTGCTTTGCAGCAATAGACAAAGGAAATCGTGCTGATGAGGGGTCTTTTCTCCTCACGACCACACAGAATGTCCACTATCAGGCCGCAACTACAGGAAAAGGGAAGCGGGGTGGGGGTGGGGTGGATCACTCCCATCCATCTTCCATTTACAGAGCTTGCCCAAGGGTCAAAGACTTCCATCAGCAACAAGTCACAACTGAACCCATTTGATTCTGTAGCTTGGAACAAGGATCAAAGTTGCGTTTCCAGAAGGGAAAAAAATACACCTTGGTTCATTGCATAGCAGGAGTAAGACACTTCTGCATATATAATTATACAAATCAAGAGCTAAGAGCTTCATGCGTAATATTTTCTGTGGTCTTTGCCCATTAGCGAAAGCAATTTGCCCATTGCTTTCATTTAGATCTTGACAGCCAGAGAGTAGATTCTCACCAATTAGTTCAACATTGTAGTGCATTCATGCTTGCTTTCCTTGCAGCAGAATCCTTTTTTTAGATGCCATTGAAAAGGTCCACCTGGGAATAACATTGCTGAGTTTTCTAGCGGAAATTAATCTGGAGGAAGAGTATTGAACCAAATTGAAAAATGGGTTCAGATACCTTTTTAGTGAACCGTAGCTGAACGTTACAATTTTCCATAGGTGTTTGTTAGGAGTCTTAGGAATGATAAGGGGAGATGACCTTGGAATTACTGCTTGTCCTACATTTACCAACTTCCATTCTGCTTTTAAGGTCTGTAATGCAAACAGAAAACAAGCACTTTCCCATCACTGGAACATGTCAGAACAGGGGAGCTGAGATGCAGTAGTCTTCTACTGGCCTGGGTATTGCAAGCCATGGATCAGTGCAAGATGGTAGTGTTATGCTTTTCCATGCTAGTGCCTTCAACACAGTGGAGAAGAAAGCTGATAATTTCTCAGTAGAACTACCTCTTCTATATCCTATTATGAGGGTGTAGCATGAAAAGGGTCATCAATCAATAGCAGATCAACTGCTTTGCAAGCTGGAATTCCCGGGCTGAGCATTGATTGAGGAAAAGGGAGCAAGTAGCTGAGGAATGAAACCCCCACTTTTGACCCTATCTAGATTATTGGTCTAGATAGACCAGTGGCCTGACTCTCTCTAAGCTTCATATATTCAGAGATACCACTTAGTCATTAGTCATATTCAGAGATACCACTTAGTCCTACCCCTTGTGTCTAAGACATGTTAGCAATTAAGCTGGACTGTGTGTTTGTTTAATTTAAAGGAAAACCATTAATTGAGCTGCATGGTCAAGCTACATGTTCATTGCATAGCATGTAGTTGAGCCTATTTCTCCTCCTTAATTTTAACTTTGGTGTGGGTGATCCTGATTCAGTTCCAGACCAGATACACTGAAAGGGATGGATTAAAATTCCCACTCATTTGTATCTCAAAATTTCCATATATGTGGGGATTTTAACGAAGAGAAGTCTCTATTGGAGTTGATGGAGGTTCTCCCCCTACCATCATTAAAAAAAAAAAAAAATCCCTGCATGGTGGGATGGAATTTTGGCAAACAAACAAGGCTGGGGAAAATTTAATCCTCCCGTCTCCATGCATGCTAGTCCTGATCCAATTGGGACCACTCATATTATGCTAAAGTAAAAATTAAAAGAATGGGCTCAGCTGCCTGTTATGCAATTAACTCCAGTTTGACCCTTAGAAGCTTATTTGTTCATTTAATAATTACATGAATTGCTTTGCAAAAGTAAGTAGCCAGCATGGGAGACATGATCCAGACTGGGACCTTGGCAATGGCCCCCCACTGCAGTTTCGTTCCAAATTTCCTCTCCCCTGTGCCTGTTGTCTACTTTTGAACTCTAATTTTTGTATGAGTTCATTGTGGGAATGGCATGCTGTTCTTTGTTTGTCATTTCTGAATTACAAAATAAAAATGATACTCTTCCATTCATCATCTTCCACTTCCTTTGGAAAAGATTGCTGATTTATCTATAGATAACCAACTGGTTTTCCTTGCATACAATTTAATCAGCAAGATGACTTACATGCTGATGCCGCTGGCAATCGCAAGAGGTTGGCCGTTGTAGATGGAATGAATGCTACTCTGCCCCAGTCTCTTCAGGAATCCCAGGAGGCGCATGCTAGTCTTGCAGAATTGATCAATATGGATTCGATTTCTCAAGGGACAACATCATTTAGGGCACAATCCTATCTGGTTTAGGCAGAAAAACCCTCCTACAACTCTCAGCCTACTCCGGTTGGCAGGACTGCACCCTTAACTTTCCTTTTGGTTAAGCTGTACTAAACCAAACAAATTTTGAAAACCCACTTTCCTATTTCTATCTTTTAATTCAATGGCTTTTCATTTTGCAATCAATGGAACCATCAATGGTGAACAACCATTTCCATTGATTTTAGTGAAATTTGCATTCAGGGAAGTGGGCTGCTATCAGGACTTCTTGGAATCAAAGCCTGGGATGGCAGGCACTGCATTGCCAGACTGTCCTGCCGGGACAGTGCTATGGACTGGCACTGTTATTGCAGGAACAGCCTCTGCTGCCAGATGTAGTATTAGGCAGAGCAGCTGCAGGGTACCAAATTAATAGTAGCTATTTTTAATGGGATCGTGGCTGACAGGTAATCACAGCTCGTCAGATACTGGTTTGCCTACTGATCATAGGATGCCTCTAGCTAAGGCAGCACAGTGCACATCGCAATCAAACAGTGAGAAACATTTTGGAAAATGTTCCTCTCAGCTCCTGTCCAAGGCTTTGGAGCTGAGCATGGCCACTTTCCAGTTAGTAGCCAAGCTTTCTCCCAAATGCGAATAAATAAATCACACATTTGAGGCATTCTTGCTACAGCCCTAAAGCAACTTATTAGGAAGTGATCTGTACTAACTTGGCCATTCACATGTACTGCATGTCATTTAAATGGAAACATTTGGTATCGTATTAAAGGTACAGCGTTGTGAAGGTTTGGGCAGAAAACAGAGCATTTCTGCTATTGGGTGTTAGGGGAATGAATGAATGAATGAAGTGGAGCAGTTTGAAATCATAATTATGATTAATGAAAAGCCCATTGCAGATATGCATAGTAGGAACAGGGTGTAAATCTGAAAGTGTTATGATATTTTGATCCAAGTTTTCCTTTTCCTTTTTTTGCAGAAAGGTGCCTGCTGATTATAAATAAAAAGTGTGCCATGAAACTAATAACATTAAATAAAAATGAAATGAAACATTCTGAAATTATCAAACTCTTTTTGATGTTGCTGATTGACAAAATTGCTGTCCAAAGGTCACAGCAGTAACTAATAGCTGATTTGCCAAGTGCCTGTGCAAATTTCTTTCTTGAACCACACAAATGCAGATGGCAAATGAAGAAAGGCCAAGTATTTCAGGTCTGTTTTTGTAACTTTCTATTGCCAGGCATACCTAACAGCTATGATAGTAATAATTTTTCTGCATTTAAAATGGCAAAAGTTTATTTTCCTCCCAGCTGGATTGCCTGACTCATTTCTCGAAATATCTATTTTTAGAAGACGTCAAAGAAATCTTTGGCAAAACATCTTCATTTTCAAAGCAGGAACCTTGACTGCTTCCAGGATTCTTGTGCAATCTAGGAAAATGGCTTAGTCTCTTTCTTTGTAAGAACTTTGAAATTTCTTTGGCTGGATAGAATATCCACTGCAGTTTTTAGTCTTAAGGGTACTGTAAAGATTTTGTTTTTCTACGTGGTGTTCTAATGCTGAGGAGAACAATTATCTTCAGAATGTTTCTCCTTTCCCACCTACCTTTTTTCTCTTTCTTACTGCCATTCTCAACCTGGTGCCATCTTGATGCATTGGACGACAATTCCCAGCATCCCTACCAGCAAGCCTAATGAAATGATGGGTGGAACAGTCCAGCACATCTGTAGGTCATCAGGCTTGGAATACATTGTCAAGCCCCAATTTTGGTCCCTTGTTTCCTATCTGGTAACAAGAATTATAATAACCAGACAATGAGCCTAATCCAGCCCCTCAAGTAGCAGCTGTTCATCCTCCACTTGCCATCCCAGAAGCTAGAGAAAGGAATGTTTCCTGTAGGAACATTGCTGGCCATGCAATTCAGGGGGGAAAAAAAAGATTTTCAATGCCAATAACTTCCTCAAGTGCTCCCTGATAAAATTACTCAAGGCAGCACTCTAAAATAAGTGAGGGCAGAGGTAGGCTAATTTCCTGTTTGTTTGTTTACATAAATTTATAGGGCCCCTATAATTGCTGAGGCTTTCCTAGGAGGCTTACAATGCAAAACAAACTGACAGGGTAAAAACACATTAAATGCCAATTAAAACACAATGAATTAAACATCTATAAAAACAGTTTAAAAGGGCCCCAACATACAGGCTTAAACATTTAAAAAATTCCTAAAAAGAAATGTTTAGGCATGTTTAGCTGCCATGGAAGGCTAAGGCATGAATTCTGTAGTTCCCCACAACAACAGAACAGGAGTTGGGAACTTTTGACTCTTGGCACAATCAGGGAGCCACCACGAAGAAGGTCATCCTCCTTGTTGTCACCCTGTCAAGCACTCTCTGATTCT